TGAACACCCTGGTCTTCATAGCTTTCACCTACGGCTTCTCCCCGCTGCTGAAGACCCTGACGGAGTCGGTCAGCACGGACACCATTTACGCCATGTCGGTCTTCATGCTCCTGGGGCACCTCATCTTCTTCGACTACGGGGCCAACGCCGCTATCGTCTCCAGCACGCTGTCCCTCAACATGGCCATCTTCGCCTCCGTGTGCCTGGCCTCCCGGCTGCCCCGTGCCCTGCACACCTTCGCCACGGTCACCTTCGCTCAGCACGGACACCATTTACGCCATGTCGGTCTTCATGCTCCTGGGGCACCTCATCTTCTTCGACTACGGGGCCAACGCCGCTATCGTCTCCAGCACGCTGTCCCTCAACATGGCCATCTTCGCCTCCGTGTGCCTGGCCTCCCGGCTGCCCCGTGCCCTGCACACCTTCGCCACGGTCACCTTCGCCATCCAGATCTTCGCCCTGTGGCCCATGCTGCAGAAGAAACTCAAAGCGCGGACGCCCTGCTGCTACGTAGGGGTGACCCTGCTCTTCGCCCTGGCCGCGCTGGCCGGGCTGCTGACCCTTTCTGGCGTCGCTGCCCTTCTCTTCTCCCTGCTGCTGGTCTCCATTTCCTTCCTGTGCCCTTACTGCCTCCTTCGGCTGCAGCTGCACAAAGACAACATCCACGGGCCGTGGGACGAAGCCGAAATCAAGGATGACCTCTCCAAGTTCCTCATGTAGATGCGTCCAGGCCTCCCAGCGGGCAAGCAGGCCACCACCATCGCTGTTACCGGTGTAAAAGGCTTTGCCATGCGGCCAACACGCCACGGACGGAATCACAGAGACGGTTCCAGGGGTGTAACTAAACCTCTGCTCCCAGGCTGACACCAAGGGCTTGGTTCTTACTAGGAGCTTTGGTCCCTCAGGTACGTGTGTGTCGCTCGGTGCCAGGCGTGGAGGTCACCATTCAGTCAGATGTCACCATTTTATCCACCGCCTCCTCTATTCAGGACTCCATGGCTGTTGATACCAGCTGTAGGCCACAAGCATCTTCTCCCCATTGGTGCTGCTGCTGGGGGAGCTGAAATACTGGTAGTAACCGTAGGGAGTGGTGTAGCCAACGTTCGCTGGTGGCGCCGAGGCCCACCGGAGTTGCTGGGTATGTGGAAAGCAGCCTTGGAAATCTCCTTGGCCAGCTGGACGTCCTGGAGATTAAAAACACCCAATCCCTCACCCCGCCTGCCTTTGTCTGTCTGTCTTCTGTGGAGCGGGTGGGGGTGGCTCATGGAGCGAGGGGTCTGGGGCAGAGCTGTTGTTTCCTAGTGCTCCCAGGTGCTAGCGCAGAAGTGGGTGTGGGGGGAGGGAATGCAGGATACCCGATGGCGCACTGTGTGCGCTCCCATTCCAGTGCTGCGTGGGATTTCTGTGTGTCACTGTATCAACCAGTGAGACACTCAAGTAGAGCGCCCTGGCTCTGCCTCCCTGCAGCCTCAAAGCCGGGGGGTCCAAGGTCTGTCCAGAAACACCCCCAGGTTTCTATGGCGACAGCATCGTCCCATCTCAGGCTGATGTGGTGCTGAAAATTTCCCTCCACAGGCAGAGGAAGGGGGTCGTTTGCCGAAGGAACACGGGATAACGGCCGTGCACTCCCCTTTGAGTCAGTCCATCAGCGGCTGACTCAGCTCCTTCCCACAAGAGCAAGGCCTCTCCCATAGCGCCTCCATGCTGCCTCCGCTCTGCAGGCCTGTCTGTTCCCAACACGCGCCAGCAGGGACCGCTCGCGCCCCGGGTCAGACCCAGGGCTGGGGTCTGGGCCCGCGCGAACGGGCTTCCGTGGCTCCATGCAGGGACGGGTTTAGTTTCACTGGTGGTGGTGAGCGCAACCCCTGGCACCGCAGCTGGGCTTGCTTCGTGCTCTTTGGGGCCCGGGCCGTGCACTGACGTGGGAGGTGCCTCGCCCGGATCCCTGGCAGGGCGCACAGTGCTGCTCCTCCCAGGCTGCTGGTGACTTGAGAGACTAGGACGGCAGGGTGGGCGCGCAGAGCAGCTGGAGAGGATCAGCCGCACAGGTAACCTCCAGCCTCGACATGTAAGGTCTCCTCCTGGACCCTCGCAGCAACAAAGAGCCCATTGTGCCGTTGTACGTGCACAGCCCGACAGGTGCTGCCCGAAGAGCGCCCGACCCAAGGGGGGTAATACGTCCAGAACGGAGCCACGCGGGTCTTGCCCAACGGTCACGGAGGGAGGGAGTGAATCCAACACTCTTGTCTCAGCCTGGGGCCAGCCATCCTCTCTCAGAACAGCCGGCTAGTTCTGGGCCAGCGGCTGCCCGGTGCACATTGGGGCTGTCTGCTCTGTAACCCGGGGTCCCCCTGCGCTGTGATGTGTGATCTCCACTGACTCACCCACATGTGGATTGGCCCAGACACCTAGGCCCAGCCTGAGCAGAGAACAAGGCTCTTCCCAGGGGACAGACAAAGGGAGGGAGGGGGAGACGCCACCTGGCTGGGGGCAGGGCTGGGAGCTGGGCACTCTGGTCTGGAAAGACATGGAGAGAAAAAGCTGAGTACTGGAGGTTGGGGGGGGGCTGGACCCTACCCCAAGGGGTCTGAGGCTGCCTGGCCCTGACTCCGGTAACCACATCCCCTCTGTGCTGTGCTGTCCTGGAGCAGCACTAACCCCTCTCAGTTCTACTGGCTGGCGGAGTCTCATCTTGCTGCTCATCAGTCCCCAACTCACTGTCACACACATGCAGACCCCGTGGCGG